ATCGTGTACACTAGGCTCAAGCCGGGCATGATTCGAGACGTGGCAAGCAGTATGATCAAGGCTTCGACCTGGGAGTTCCATGAACCAAACTCCATACAACTTGAGGGGGATTCCAGCGAGCCTACATCATTGAGCTAATCAAGTCTACTTGCCCCATTTGCAGTGTTGGAACGAAGGGGAAAGTGGTCGGTTAAGTACGAGGGAACCGAGCTGAACCATGGGCTTCCGAACCGCGACAGAACGGAGAATCCCAGCCATTCGCCGTTCAGCCCACCAGAACTCAGAGTCCAGGACAAGAACTCACGAAGACGTAGCCAGGCTGCATGGGGAAAATAATTCTCTTCCAACGGACTTGATTAGCGAGTAGAATGTCCTCATAGGATGGGTTTTCCACCTTTGATAAGGTTTATTTCATGAGAGGGCAGACAAGTAGGGGATTCCAGCGAGCCTAACTCATTGGGCTAATCAAGTCCACTTGCCCTATTTGCAGTGTTGGAACGAAGGAGAAAAATGCTCATGACCCGTTTGTTGTGTGTTTTCCTGCTTTCAAGCTTATATGCTACATTTGAATTAATCGGTTTGGGGCGAAACTAAATACCTTTCTGAATTGCGAATAAGTTCATGCGAAAAGGTTTTCCAGGAGCGCCGGGGTAGAGTCTGATGCAAGCTGGGAAAACGATAATTTCTCGGTGAGTAAACATTGTTTGTACCTTCTAGTTATGCTCAATGTAAAAATCATGTGTTGACGGTGTGGCAGATATGAGATAGTATTTTCATAGAACGATCGCTAATATTGAGGTACCCCTCGCAACCACTTTCCATCAGCTTGGGGTTCTAAACGGCGAGCCTAAGTCACACGAGACAATATTATTTCTAGTGTTAACCTTTATCCTCCAGGTCGAATTCATACGAGTAGCAAGGATTTGATCATACGAGTATGAGATCGACAGATAGATTAGTATGTGGGGTTTGCATAACATACGGAAGGTGTAAAAAGGTCAGGTTGACGCTTTGGCGAGGTGAACGCTATGGCATCCGGCCGGCGTTTGGTCCATAGATATAGAAGAATACACGGCGCTCTGGGGCAGAGCACTTTACACAGTAGAAATGAATCCTTCGTGCTGCGTTCACCACAGAGCCGCTGTGCTGGCGAACCTCATTCTTGAGCTGGTGAGGAAAATCAATGAGAGCCTTAACGTGGTGAGAGTTGAGCTCGTCGAGGTACTACAATCAAATCCATTGTTGACACCCGCTGCGCCTAGTCCTAGATGCTGAAAGCCCGTTGTTGGTGAGCTGGTATGGCCAACTGAGAAACAAAATCACTAAAATCTAGTGATGCTCCATGGATCACATTGTGGCTGTGCGCTAGGTAATTATCCACGATCACCATATCGTGCTAAACAATCAGTGAGTCTAGTTTCTTGTGATATTTTTGTCGCTCCAATACCAGGATGCCTTGACGGTAGTGGCCGTGCACGCCAACTGTTTGGAACTTGAAAAGAACAGCTCTATCATTTCGGAACGATTGATTCTTTTTTCGTAGCGCAAAGTTTCCACTATACCATCTCGTTGAATCAACGATGACAAGATCGAATGGCATCAGTTCCAGGCAGCGCCGTTCCTTTGTTAGATATAATTGATATTGGCTTTCGATTTGCCCAGCATACTGCATATACTTGTTTGTTGTGTTTGGTAGTGCACGAAACCACTGTGAACGACCCACGGGGTGGAGACGAATCGAACCACTGCTTGACGTGTTTTTTTTTTTTTAGATACTGAACAGTAGTTGTTTTGACGATGGCCATAAAATAAGCCCAAACGGTCATCGAGTTCAATAAGAGTCTTTACTGAGGCAAAGGCACCATCGGCAACTATAGTGCGGCCTGTTTCTTTGTATGGTTCAGCTAGCCAAAATACAAGGGCTGCCCCCTTCTCCGTTGTCACGAGCATACGGTTTAGCACGCTGACGAGGTGCACCTTCAACTAGCTCGAGCCCAAATGAAACATCACTTTCACCACGTGCAAGTGACGTGAGCTCAGTACCTATGCCCTCAGGCTTACGTGCTATCTCGTATTGTAAGGAAGGCCGTCGTGACAGTATCTATTCTCCCGCCCTTTCCGGATGCCCATGCGCTCGTCGACACAGAGGATGTTACCAGGGGAAACAACATGTGTTCGCCTTTCATTGAAGCCGTCAACAAAAAGACGAATAGGTTTCTAAGGATCTTTGTCAACACCAGCATATGCAGAAGCCATACAAGACATTATTTCATCAAAACAGCGACGCCTCATATCAAATCGACCGAAATTCAGTGGGGTATCAACGTAACCTTCCCTTGCATCCTATGTCCAATATGTAGAAGTTAGCCCCGATCGAGATTCAAGTACCACGGCCAGCGAATCCCGATCCAGGTAAACCAATCCCCTGGTTGAATCGTTCTCTGCTGCTGTCGAGCCAGATTGGCGTTGGTAAATGCAATTGTGTTGCCCAAAGTTTGCATAGGGTACACCAGATTGAAGTAATTAGCAAACGTACACTCGACAATTACTCCTATTGAGAAGCGCGTTGGGCGTGGTGTGGTGTTGTAATTCCCACGGCAACTCTAGCTACTAGTGTAGGTAGGATGAACCCACAACAATACGTCTACC